AAAGTCAGGGCGATCCTCTTGTATCGTTCAATTGCCTGACTCTGCAGCTGAACTAGCCACCGAATCCTGTTGTTGTGTCGATGCTCAGGCCGGGTCGAGGTGAGCGAGGAACTTCGCTAGCAGTCTAAAGAGGCGCGGCTGTTCCCGAACGAAGAGGAATGGAGGAAAACTCGCTTGTACAAGCTATGACAAAGGCAGAGTTCTCGATGAATTTAAAGATCATCCATCAGTCATCTGTCAATCACGTTTGGTTGCTGATTGAGATCGAGAGCCATATGCAACTTTCGTATTGTTATCCAGTTGAATGATTCCATTTTTCCTATGGCAGCGTTGTTGCGTTATGCCTATGTCTAGAGTAGCACGAAGTCGTTTGAATACAGATTCTCAATTGAGGTTCCCTCGATAGAATTTTCGGTTGCGTTCACCACGATGGGCAGTGTACATATACACTCCTCAAAAGTGAGCTGACTTGAGGAGTTATTCATAAGTTGTGAATCATAACGGAGTCGCGCATGCAGTTCAACCGGCCAACGTACATGAAAAAGACTGCAACGCCATTCCATTGGTTTGGCGTTGGAGCGAGTTTCAGCTGACATGGTTATACATAGTGATGTAAATGGGTTGTACAATCGGTGTGTGATGATAAACCACTTGCTTCACTCAACTAATGCCGATGCGAAACTCAAACTACAATCCGGGCAGAAGCACGTGCAAATTTTACGTGGGCAGCTACGGGAAAAAATCTTAAATTAATGTACCCAATGATGAGAGAAATGAATCAAAAGTTACAATGGTACCACAACGTCGCTCTGGCGAAATGGAGAGATGGAAGTGGCGTATTTGATTTCAAACAACTCGGTACAGTAACACACAATGCGCCAAATATTTGATTCAGGGTTTGGCATCAGACCAATTCGTGCCAGTAGCAATATCAACATCAAGGTTAATCAACATCCGGTAGTCAGGCTTGATATCGGCAAAGGGATGCTCCATGAGGTCTCGCACGATGGGAACTGCGTCGGTGGCATTCTCTGCGGGTCCTTCGAGGATCACTTCATCATGTACCTACGGCATCGTTCAGGATGCTGATTGGAATCGCCCATTTCTCACCTGCATCACTATCTTGACCCCATGCGCCGTAGTCTCTCGTCTCGATCGACGCGAAGCATGGCCATCATGGCGATGTCGGCCGCCGACCCTTGGATGACGAAATTCACCGCTGCACGCTCTGACCTCCCTGAGTATCTGACAGGGACAGCTGATTCCATGGGCTGGAAAGATGCGCCACCAAAACGCCCTACTTCCGGAGCCTATGCTTGATATGTGGGAATCTTCGGTGGCGTCCGAGTATGGAAGTCGCGTGCTGCGTATCGCGGGCTTGCTGAATGATCTGCCCAGAAACCTCGAGGACTCCCCAGAACGATCCAACGGACCTCTGCCTTCCATCGCTCGACTCCCTTCTTAGAGTTGTTCCATCTCGTGAACATGTCTCTAATGTCAGTGACAGGCAGGTCCATCTCTTCAGCTAATGTCCTTTCAGTCTTCCCGTAAGCAATAGAAAAGTTCATCACCTGAATTCTAAAGGATCGCAGTGGAGAGTCTTAAGCCATCCTGGTCCAACCTTGGCCTGCTGCCGCTGAGTCGAGAACTTGGTCTTCACACTGGGTATGCCCGGATGCGCTTCAGCATCGTCAATAACGACCTGTACAGTGGCTCTCCTATCTATTCGCGAGTGTAGGCGTCCTACAGATCCATTGGCAACGGCCTCTGCTACTTCTGGGAAGAGGTCCACTGCGCACTGTGAATGGATATCCCCGCCCTGATTCAGTTGTCTTATCATGGATTCACATCTCGACATGTGCGCCAATATGCGGAGCTCGAGTTGCGAGTAGTCTCCGACGATGAGCGTATTTCCGGGGCGAGCGCTGAATGCCTTCCGGATGGAATAGAGGTCGTTGTGAGCACTTGGAGGGTTCTGCAAGTTCGGCTTGCGACAGCAAAGTCGACCTGAGAGAGCGATCCCATCAGCTCGGATGCCCGAGTTTCTCAATGTAATGAATCTTGTAGTGACATCCGATCCATCTCACCCGTGGTCGTGTCTAGCGCCAGACTAGGGTGGATCCTCCCGAACCCATCCTCATCGTATTTTATTCGCTCTATCAACGGCGATAGGACCGAGGTGATTGCCGCGGATATCCTGATACTTCGTTGTAGATGCCACAGGAGCCTGCACACCTAACAAGACCACCAGAGTTTGCACGCTTATCTGTATCGGACTCGTACGCTTGCTGCATGTTCATGGCCACGTACAGGCTCTAGCTGCTGGTAAGCAACGCCATAATTACCTTCATGAGGTTCACCAGCGAAAGCTCTCAGAATAGCTGACTCGACCTGTCAGAGCGGGAACTTGCTGAACCGTCCACCCTCCCGAGTACTGGACGGCAAGAGCCGGGAGCTCACCTTAGGCCAACCGCTGGGGGCGTAGTTGCTCAACCGTTCGCGGCCATAAAGGTAGGCTATCGGCTGGAGACCAAGCCCCTTCACGATGAATCGATGCTTGGACGATGGGGCAGTGGGGAACTCCATGAAAGGCTGTATCCATTCTGCCTCCTCTCCGGCTCGCACTCTACGGGCGACCCATCGCAGATGGTCCGGCTCGTCAGGGTTCCCGAAGAGGAGTTGTCGTATTTGCTTGGCTGATCTCGGGTTAATGAACTCTGCCTGGGGATTCAATGGCTGACCCCGGCGATCTGACCACAAAACCAATTCACCTCTAGCGATTGTGGATATTGACAGAAAAATGACAAGCAAACCGACGGCAGAAAGGAACTATTTCTATTCGAGAATACTCCCACGTACCTTTCAGTGACTGTGCTATCATCCGAAAGGCCTCTTTATGCCGCTCGAGGTCCGCCTGAGCTGCCGTTAACTGTTGGATTAGATACTCTCTGTTAGCGCCGAAGCCTCGCCTCTCGATCTCAACTAGGAGCTCAGTGAAAGGGCGATAGAATTTCACCGCGAAATCGGACATCGACAAACCTGTGTATCTGCCAATCCAACAGGTGAGGCGCACAAAAAGCCGTTCACAGCGATGACAAAACTTATGAATATTGAAGGTGCAGTCGCAAGATTATTCCCAAGCTCGACTGGCTATACTCGATTCGACGCAAGTATGCCTAGGCTCAGTCCTCGGTAAACGATAGTAGGACTTAGCGTCACATATGTTGCTCTAGTCTGGGCATAGTGTAATGCCGCATACATACGAAATTTTGAAGAGGAAATACTCACGTTTCTGGGTCGTTCATTCCGTTGAATGTTGTTGTTCCATGGCGAATCTTCTCGCGAATAGGCTGCCAGTGCAACTCAGTACACCACTCTTGGCCTCGCAAGGTGTCAGTGAGACGCTGAAAGGAGACGACAGGTCAGAGCACGTCCCCAGAATATCGATCAAGGCATCTTACACGGTAGAGCATAAACGTGAAATACGCGTCATCAGCAGCATACTTCAACCATTCTCCGAACTTCTCCTCGCTGCAGTGGGCTTCCAAACCTCCAATACCGAGTCTGCCTGCGAACCTGTATAGGCAATTTTCAGATTCACCGTCGCTGACACCAACTACTTCTCTTTGACGACGGTGGTTCTTTCGGCGCGATGCCAAACAGACTAACAAGTCGTTTGAGCTGATAGCCCTTCCCAGGACCCGAATGTTGTTCACAATCTGGATGGGCGCAGATGACGATCACATTATGTGGTGACGCGACCCACCGACAGACAGCGGCTCAAGGGTAGCTGAGTCACCGTTGAGAGGCGTGCTGAATATATCTCCTCCCTCATCGATGAGAGCCTCCTTAGTAGTCGAGGACTTGCTCTTTCGCAACGACAGTGGTGGTTTCTCTGGTTGAACCTACAGTGGGCCAGAACTCTGCTGATTCCATCGGACCAGTGTAAGAAAAACTTCACTTTGAGAGACCGCTTGCTATCATTCGCGCCGTCATAGCCTCTTTAACAGTACGCACCACACCCTCACCTGATCTTCCCAGCTACTGAGACTGGAATCGAAGAGCCGCGCGAGATATCTAGTGTCGGCCTCCAGACCTCGCACTGTTATACCATGCCCGTATAAGACATGCGCATCAGCAGCGAAGTTATGAAAGATCTTCCTCCTGAAGTGACAGTTGCTCTGATAACTACAGCAGACCCCTATCAGAAGGCTCAGGTGGAGGTAGACATTTACTGAGCAAGAATGCGAATCGCACTCGCTGGAGCTTACTTGGCAGGGTTTTCAAAGTACGATCTAAACAGGTCTAGGACATGCCTGCTAGGCCCCTTGCAGTCTACGAAGAGCAACGGGCCAGAGCCGAAATCGAGCTTGCCACCTCCGAATGCAGTCAAGCACAGTAACTACACGACGCTGAGTTTCTTATGATATCTTTCATGGAACCCTACCTCTCCCGAGCTGTGTGCAGGAGTGTTCCTCGTCAATTCCACATTCCAGAATTCCGTGTCCCACGCTACTGGGCCCCGGTGCGCCTCCAGAGCTCGTATCTGTCACTATCGCATTCAATGATAGTATCAACTCCCATACTCTACCGCTCTTATAGCTTGCTCCTCATTACATACTAGTGTAATACCCCTGGGCGGCGAGTAGCTCATGCGAAAGTCAGTTTCCTGATCAATCTGGAAGACCTTGTCACAAGGAATCTCTCAGGAGTAACCAATCATACTTTCGTTAGTCTCTTGGCGAAGGCATCGGCCCTAACACGTGTTGCCTTCTCTTCCTTCTTCGGAAGGAGAGAGGTCTCGTCTGCCTTCTCAGAGTGTACGTCACCACCAGTCAATATTGACACAGGTTGATGGTGTAGTATCTACGCAGGAGCCCGAATATCGTCATGATGACTGCCTGGTCAGAAATCATAGGATAGAGTAGAAGCTGGCATTTAGAAACAATATAGAGTCATAGTTCTTATATGTTCGTGATGACCGTTATTGGCCGAGACTCCAGCCGATTGTCCCATATGATGCATCAAAGCAAACAACCTCATCCTGTCCAAGAAGAGTCAATCGCCATCATGAGAAAAGCCAGCCAAAATACCGTATGATTACAGCGACAAGGCAAGGCTATTCCACACAGCGATAGAGCAATTCGTCTACAAGTGCCCTCCCTAGAGCTACCCTATTACCACCTCTCTATCGGTCAGTGCTGGCCGCGGCATCAGAGCCGGCAAGTACTTCAGCACGTCCTCTCTCTGCACGGCTGGAGAGGCCGAGCCGAACCACTGCTTTGAGCCAAGCATACCTAGGCGGTGACAGCTCGTCAGAGACCGCAGTACCGGTACTGCGTATCGCAGCCGGTTTAGAGCCATATGGTGCGATCCCCACTGGAGGGGCTGGACCCACATTACTCGCTGAATGAATGATACTCCCGAGATGAATTCATATAACCCAACAAAACATTTCGGAAGCACTTCATTTGCTCTTATGTCTCACGATCAATCCTGGCTGTCCTTCCAAGAAGGTGAGATCTCGGGAGAACAGGGGACCGTCCAGGAGTTTGAAAGCTAACGTCTCGTGCTCCTCAACTGCAAGAATAGTCCCGACCAAGTTGTAGAGTAGAAGAACTGTTCCGCGTAAAAACGCAAAAACGATATGGTGAGCCTTCTGCTGTATATGATTTTTGTCCCGAGAGGTGAACCCACACCTCCTGATCGTCACAGAAGTCGACGTAGCTAGATGATCAATATAAGTGTGCAGTGATCATTTCCCTGAGAGCCTTGAGTTTTTCAGTGCTCATCTCCGGATGGCTCGAATCGACTCAGCCACTGTTCTTGTTCTTCATATCTTAGAGGGTGATATCCGCTGAAACCATTCCCCGTATAGGCTAGCTCATCTAATCCCACAAGTTGACTTGGTTGAGATCCCTTCTTAAATCCACATACATGATCCTAGTGCGTCAAGAATGAGCGTTCCACAGGAACAAATGTACACAAAAAGAACACGCCTGACTCCTACATTGAGTTCACTAGTTTGGACTTGCAGCCACCAACTGATAGACTGGAACCTACGAATGCCACATTCATCTCTCTACAGATTGTTTAGCGCAGTACGGGGAAATATGCACATGGTCAACGACTCGTGTCGGTGACAACATGGAAACTTCGAGGAAATTTTGGACATTGTTGTTGACTTCTGTGATCTTCTATAACTAGTAAGAATTCCCGAGCTCAGCTGAGGAGAGGCAACATATAATCCCACTCCGATTCCACAGGTGGAGAGCGAGTGGCTCACCTACTACAGACCCTTGGTATTGACCGCCTTCGACACCTAGATTGATCCGAACTATTATAGGCCTGGAGAAAC